CTTGACAATTTTAAGGCATGTGGACTTCAACTCCCAGAATTCCACAGCCAGCAACGCTGGCTGTGGAATTCTGGGAGTTGAAGTCCACGTGCCTTAAAATTGTCAAGGTTGAGAAACACTGCTGTAGATGGCCTGGGGGCCAGATTGGCGCATCTCACTCGTTGGGCTAGCACTGTTTGGCTTCCCAGATCCCCCCCCCATGTCCTCCCTCATTCCTTTGCAAAAGGTCAGGCTGGCGGGATGTGAGCGATGCTAGCAGGATGGCGGCCATGACCTCAACAGTGGCCCTGCGGAATAAAGGAGGCCAATCAGGGCTAGGCAGAATTTATTGGACCTCCTGGCCCATCAGGAGCAGCAAAACCAGATCGCAGCTACGGAGAGCATCCCTCGAGCGAAGGGGGCAGAGCAGAGATTTTGGCAGAGCTTCGTTGCTTCTCCAGACATCTCCCTCCGGAGTGGGAGAAAGAGCGACGTGCGCTAGTATTTGCACTGGCAGAGAAAAGCATTCTTGTTCTTGCACTCCTGATCGTTCCACATGCGATACCCTGGGTGGCGAAAGAGAGAGGTTTTCAGGGATTCCCTGGGAGAGTTTAAGGGGCTCCCCCCTCATTGGCAGAAGGGTGTGAGGATGCCACAGGGGGGGGGCTCATCTGCTAAAACGGACCTGGAGTTCAGCGTGGTCTTGTAACCCAGATAATTTAGATAGCCATCCGGTTTCTTTTGTTTATTTTGTCTGGGGTTTGCAGGCTGTTCTTTTTATTGGACGGGCCATGTGCCCGTTTTTCTCTTCTATGCAAGCTGTCAGTGGCTGAGATTCATCTGATTACAGTGAGGTAGACTTTTGATATAGACTTGAGAGAGAGAGAGAGAGAGAGAGAGAGAGAGAGAGAGAGAGAGAGAGAGAGAGAGAGAGAGAGAGAGAGAGAGAGATTTAAGCTAGAAAGCACAAAAACCAGATGTCCTGTGACAGTGATGGCTTTTGAAAAGGAGTTTAAGATGGAGCTTGTTTGTTTTATTATGAGCGGATGTTCCTGTAATCATTTTCATATACAACTCCAGTTTATAAGAATAGAATAGAATAGAATAGAATAGAATAGAATAGAATAGAGTTGGAAGGGACCTTAGAGGTCTTCTAGTCCAGCCCCCCGCTCAAGCAGGAGAACCTACATCATTTCAGACAAGTGACTGTCCAGCCTCTTCTTAAAAATCTCCAGTGATGGTGCGCCCACAATTTCTGGAGGCAGGCTGTTCCACTGGTTAATTCTTCTTGTTAATATAATTTTACTATGATTGTTATGCTGCTTTTGTTAGGGTGTTGGTTATAAGTGGGGTGTGTATGTAACTGTTTTAAACAAACAAACAATGGTCATCAGTTGCCAAGGGGTGATTGTTCCAAGATGGATCATTGTTGGAATTGTACCTCAACTGCCTCATCACCATCTTGACTTACCTGTAAGGGACACAAGCTCAACGCAGAATTCTTTGTTCTGGTAGTGATCGGGCTGGTTTTTGTCCCAGGTTAGGTAGTCGGTGCAAGATCTGTCCGTCCACTCCCAGGAGAAGTCCTATGATGAAAAAGAAGCCATGTTAGGCAGTTGAGGAAGGGTCTCGGGGTCTCCAGGGCCAGGTCAGAGAGGAAAGTTTTCAGATTTTAAAGGGTAGATCAAATAGAACATCCCTCTCTCCACCTTGGTTGATCTGCAACAGCTAAGCAGGGTTAAACATGGTGAATGCTTGGATGGGGGAACAATCAGGAGACCCAGAGGAAAAACCACCCCAGCAGAAAACTACCTGGAGGTGTTTGTGAAGTCACCAGCTCAGCTTGAGAGCCACTTTGCCTCATGCTCAACGTGGTGGCAGCCCTGGAAGATAATGGCTGACCTCAGAGAGACAAATAGGGTCAAAGTCAAGGAGTCCTTGGGTGGGAGACCACCAGCAAAACCCCAGGGCTATCCGTGACACTTAGAAAATGGAAAACACCCTGGACA